GGACCATCCCTTCACCGCGGCCCGCGAGCTTGTCCGCGGCCGCGGAACGCGCGTATTCAGATTTTTAAAATAGCAGATTTTATTTTGAACGGGGGCATTGATGTTTTGATCCAGGGTTCGACTTTCTTAGTACTTTTCACTTGAAAAACTCAAACTTTCTCTTGGTTTTGATCGGGTGATTCGATCTTGGAGAGAAAAACTCCAAGATTCGACTCTTGGATTCGGTTTATTCGTGTTCTCGACATTGGATTCATTAATCGTAAGCTTTCATTTCGTTTTCTTATTGATTGAATGGCTTTGATTATTGTGTTTGTTGAAGTTGAATGCATTATGAGTAGCTAAATCCTTTAGCTAGGGTTAGGGGAAGATCGTTTCGGTTCGAATTCGATTATATGCATGATAATTGCTCAATCCTCTCGAGTTGTGCTTAGCCTGGGGTTTTGATGTTTGATCACCATCTTAATCTAATTAATCGATTTTAAAACTGAAAAGGGAGAAATCGTTCGATCTAGGCTCGTTAGGAATAAGCTTGTTCGTAATAGTATTGCTTATGTGTTGATTGTTTCAAAAATTACTCGTTTACGTCTACCCTCTTGTTACGAAGAGTTATTGAGGATAGATCTCTAGATGAGTAGTTTAGCGAGACATTTAACCGAGCTCTTGATTGCTCGTTAAGTGTATTGAGAACCGGAATTGATTGACCCCGATACCCTAACTCCTTTATCATAAATTGAATTTGAGTATTAAGTTGTGATCTTGGGATTCCTAGTTTGTCTAGCTTTTTCAATTACTTGCTTTTCAATTCGTAGTTGATAAAATTAAACCAAACCAATTGAATTAGAGTGTTTAGGTCTTCTTTTAATTTCTTTTTTTTTTTTGTGTGATTGATTATACGTGCAAAATAATCCGGCTAATCACACACGAAAGAAAGAGAAAATAAAAGAAATAAAAATCCTAAACATTTTAAATCAAAGATTGGTTGGTTTTTATTATCAACTACTGCGAATAAATAAAATAAAGCAAGTAAATAGCAGAAGATCACGAAGAACAAATAAGGATGAAGAAGCTTGGGAGTCGGGGATATCCGTTTTGGTTCGATATGCAACTAACAGGCAAGCGATTGTTCAGCTAAGAAATTCGAATAATCTACCTGATCAAGCATTCATTCTCAATAACTATTCGTAACAAGAGAATAAACTAGAACAGCAAATTAACGAGTCAAATAACCCCTAGGCAATACAGTTACGAACAAGCCTAATTCATGTGAATCTATTTCGACCGACTCCTCCTCTTTCGGTTCTAAGAGCCGATTAAATATCTTTCAATTTGTTGTAAATATTTTTACCGGAGTAGAATTGAAAGATTCATTCCCCGGTTCGTATCACAAGAAAGGTCAGCCGGAATATCAAGCACGTTTATTCACACACGAAAGAAAGAGAAAATAAAAGAAATAAAAATCCTAAACATTTTAAATCAAAGATTGGTTGGTTTTTATTATCAACTACTGCGAATAAATAAAATAAAGCAAGTAAATAGCAGAAGATCACGAAGAACAAATAAGGATGAAGAAGCTAGGGAGTCGGGGATATCCGTTTTGGTTCGATATGCAACTAACAGGCAAGCGATTGTTCAGCTAAGAAATTCAAATAATCTACCTGATCAAGCATTCATTCTCAATAACTATTCGTAACAAGAGAATAAACTAGAACAGCAAATTAACGAGTCAAATAACCCCTAGGCAATACAGTTACGAACAAGCCTAGTTCATGCGAATCTATTTCGACCGACTCCTCCCCTTTCGGTTCTAAGAGCCGATTAAATAATCCTAGAAGATGGTAAATCAACTAGTCGGTATAGATTTAACAATATCACGCAAGAACGAATCAAATTCAATCAACAAGCAATTGCAAATCGAAGTGTCACTTCTTCGATAATTCTCAACATTCAAGCATAAATCGAAAACCCTAATTAAGCATGAATCGCATAAACTGAACAATCTTAAGCCCGACAATCGCAAACGAATTCAAAATCCCGATCCCCTAATCCCTAGCAATAGAATTTAGCTATGCATATTCGAATAATCAACACCAATAAAATTAATCCAAGCAACCACTTCCATGGATGAGATGAAGAGAGTAACTTACGATTAACACGAGATTGAAAGCCAAATCCGAAATACAAGATTAATCCGAAAAGCAAGAGCAAATCCAATGTCGAAAACAATGAAAGAAAATGAAAGACGAGAGAAAAGATGGAAGAATAGGGTTTTTATGTTCAGTCGTGAATGAATCCCTTCGATCAGTTCACGATCGAGTTTAAATAGCAGTAGGGGCACTGCGCGACAGAATAAGCAGCACGGTGTGGGAGAACTTCTGGGCGCGGCGCGAAGGACTGTCACGGCGCGGCGGAAGCATGCGTAACGGCGCGGCAGAGGTCTCGCGGCGCGGCGGGCCCTTCCTTCACGATGCGACGACGAGCGCGGCGCGGGACGAGAAATCTGTCGTCTGTCCAAGTCACGCGATGGCGTCGCGGCGCGGAGGACGCGCGACGGTCTGACAGGAAGCAGGCGCCGCGGCGTGCTGCCTGCCGCGGCGCGGTGAGCTCGGATGGTTGGGTAGCGATGGTTGAACACTGCGTGGCAGGGGTTCTCATCGCGGCGCGGGTTGGGACACGGCGTGACAGCTTGGAATGCTGGTTCTGAAGGTCTCGTGCTGCATGCTGCGGCGCGGTGCGGGCGTGACATCTGGGAGCTCGTGCTTGAATTTGTTAGCTTTTGTGCATGATTTCACGTCTCGGGCTCGTCTGCACTCGTTTGAACTTGGAATTTGATTCCGTTTTCTTCTGCTCGTTGTCAACGAAACTTTCAATATACTTACGCAAGCACGGTCAATGTTTGCCTGAAATCTGGTCCTCCCAAGATTTTTAACCTGCACACCACGAGACGAAAACAAAAACGGAGAAAACGAAGAAAATAATCGAAAAACACAAAAAGACTCGAAATAAATGGAAACACACGAAAAGAAAAGAAACGGACCAAAACACTAAAGAAACGACCTAAATCAGGGGAAAAAGAAAGATAAAATAAACACGAAAAATGCAACAAAAATGGGACAAACAACTCCCCCACACTAAGACCTTTGTTCGTCCCGAACAAAAAGAAAAGAAAAGAAATGAAACAAGCAAACGAGCATGGATAACAGCTTCAGACAAGACAAGTCTCAGATTTGTCAACTTAGCCGAGGTGAATTCCAATGACCAATCATGCATACCTCAACTACACTTGAATGCAACATTTCGAAAAGACAACTCTCGAGCACGGGAATATAATATATATATGCCTCACCCAGTTTCTTTCGTGAATATAGAACTGGGACTCTCACATTGGTCGATCATCATGCATCAACATAAGCTTGCTCATTGTCATTCATACTCTAAATCAATCAAAATAATGAATTGTAAAACAAAAGGACTTTCGGGTTGCAGTGTAGGTATCAGGGAAGAAAAAATATAAGGAAAGAATGGCTCAAATAAACAATCACATCCTCGAGCATATAAACCACTCGAACATCTCACCATCTATCCAAAATCAGCACAACATAAATCATTCCCATCAAAACTCCATGCAACATTCATATATGCTCATCTGAATTGCACTTCAAGTACTCAACTTTTTCCTTTCATTTTTTTTTTTTATTTTTTA